ATTTTTATTATTTCATTGTTTCCCTTCTACGTGACTTTACCGAAAGAACCAAGAATATGAAATCATCTGTTTAAAAAACAAAACTACACACGCACACAAATTTGTCCCCTCGCACGCACAGACTTCCGGGGTCTCTCCGGAGAGTGAGGCAGCTGGCCAGAGTGAGATTCGCACAACCTTGGAGAATTCGGGAGCGCCATTGGCCCGTTGAGAAAGACTCAGAGAGAAAGAGGGAGAGACAGCATGGGGAGAGAGAGAGAGACGGAGACACAGACACACACAGAGATACACACAGAGATACGTACATGTACACATACATAGAGACACAGAGACACACGCAGACGCATACGTGGACAGAAACAGAGACACACTGATGAGACACACTGATGAGACAGAGACACACGGGGAGACACAGAGACACACGTGGAGACATAGAGACACACGAGGAAAACACAGATACACACGGGGAGAAAAAGGGACACGCAGGGAGACACAGAGACACACGGATGAGACACAGAGACACGAGGGAAGACACAGAGACACACGGATGAGGCACAAAGACACGAGGAGAGACACAGAGATACGCTGATGAGACACAGAGACACGAGGGGAGACACAGAGACACACGCAGGGAGACACAGACACACGGGGAGACACAGAGACACACGGATGAGACACAGAGACACGAGGGAAGACAGAGAGACAGGCTGAGGAGACACAGAAACACACCAATGAGACACAGAGACATACGCGGAGACACAGAGACACACGGAGAGACAGAGACACACGGGGAGACACAGAGACACACGGGGAGACACAGAGACACAGAGACACACTGATGAGACACAGAGACACACTGATGAGACAGAGACACACGTGGAGATACAGACACACACGTGGAGACACAGAGACACACGAGGAGACACAGAGACACACGGATGAGACACAAAGACACACTGTTGAGACACAGAGACACACTGATGAGACATAGACACACGTGGAGATACAGACACACACGTGGAGACACAGAGACACGCGGGGAGACACAGAGACACACGCAGAGACACAGAGACACACTGGGAGACACAGAGACACACGGGGAGACACAGAGACACACGAGGAGACACAGAGACACGCGGGAAGACACAGAGACAGACGAGGAGACACAGAGACACACGGATGAGACACAAAGACACACTGATGAGACACAGAGACACGCAGGTAGACACAGAGACACACGGATGAGACATTAAGACACGGGGAGACACAGAGACACACGTGGAGACACAGAGACACACTGATGAGACAGACACACGGGGAGACACAGAGACACGTGGAGACACAGAAATACACGAGGAGACACAGAGACACGCAGGTAGCCACAGAGACACACGGAAGAGACACTAAGACACACGGGGAGACACAGAGGCACACGTGGAGACAGAGACACACTGATGAGACAGAGCCACACGGGGAGACACAGAGACACACGTGGAGACACAGAGACACACGAGGAGACACAGAGACACACGAGGAGACACGGAGACACACGGATGAGACACAAAGACACACTCATGAGACACAAAGACACACTCATGAGACACAGAGACACGCAGGGAGACACAGAGACACAGAGACACACTGATGAGACAGAGCCACACGGGGAGACACAGAGACACACGGATGAGACACAAAGACACACTGATGAGACAGATACACGCAGGGAGACACAGAGACACACTGATGAGACACAGAGACACGCAGGGAGACACAGAGACACAGAGACACACGGATGAGACACAGAGACACACTGATGAGACACAGAGACACGCAGGGAGACACAGAGACACACTGATTAGACACAGAGACACGCAGAGAGAATGCCTCTCGCCCTTGGGCGAGGTGAGAATCCTTGACGCGTGCGATCTGCGGCCGCAGCAGAGCGAACACTCGCGCGCATTTGCAGCCGGAGGCGCGTTGCCTGCTGCGCTGCTCCCGTGCAGCGCATTTGTGGCCGGCCGGGGATGGTGAGCGATGAGTGTTTTTTTTTGTGTGTGACGACGATCATGGTGGCGATGAAAGGTGAACAGTAGCGACGATGGTGGTGATGAGCAAACAGCCTCACGGAGTCTCAAGACTCGGCGAGACATTTGCCATTGAGTGATGAGAGTTCGGCTTGTTGCGGGAGGAAGCCGCAGGACCCCGGAGAACCGTCCCCTCGCCCCCATCACAGAGTCCGAGAAAAGAGTAACAGCACCCACCAAGAAACTTGTCCACGCAGAGGCCGGGCTCACGAGCCTTCTTGCCAGTGACGTCACCTGGCACGGGTCCCAGTCACCTCGCAGCCCGGCGAGGTTTGCGCGGACTCTCGCATCATCTCGACGTGATCCACCAACCCTCCTTTGCCCTCCGAAGCGCCGGACCGCGGCGCTCAACGTCGCCGCACCGAGCCGGGCGGCGAGCGAGGAACGCAGCCAGGGCCACGGGGGGGGGGGGGGAGGGGGGGGGGAGGGGGCTCAAGTGGCACCGTGGACTAAAAGAGCCCTTCGGAGGAACGCAATTGGACAGCAATGGGACTGTCGATTCATGCCCCCCCCCCCCCCCCGCGTGTAGACTGGTGCGGTGTGTAGTAAGCATCGCCACTGGGGAGACAAAGGCGGTCGGGCGTGGTGCTGTTGGCTTACCCACCTCCTCGTGTGCCGTGCCGGCCTTCGTAGGCGCTCGCTAACAGCACTTGCCCCAACAGTCTGTTACAGGCTACACGGGGGATCTTTGTCTTTGTTGTGTGTCTGTAGGTGCTCGCTAACAGCACTTGCCCCAACAGTCTGTTACAGGATACACGGGGGATCTTTGTCTCTGTGTGTGTGTCGTGGCGAGTGGTGATTTGATTAATTGTCTCAACTTCTGGGACGTGATTTGATGTCTCGTTTGTATTGTCCGTCTCGCTTGTATTGTCTATCTCGTTTGTATTGTTCTGTCTGTGTGTATTGTCTGTCTCGTTTGTATTGTTCTGTCTGTGTGTATTGTCTATCTCGTTTCTATTGTTCTCTCGCGTGTGTATTGTCTGTCTCGTGTGTATTGTCCTGTCTTATTTGTATTGGTCTGTCTGTGTATACTGTTGTCTCGTTTGTATTGTTCTGTCTGTGTGTATTGTTATGTATGTGTATTGTCTGTCGCGTTTGTATTGTTCTGTCTGTGTATACTGTCTGTCTCATTTGTATTGTTCTGTCTCGTTTGTATTGTTCTGTATGTGTGTATTGTCTGTCTCGTTTGTATTGTCTATCTCGTTTGTATTGTTCTGTCTCGTTTGTATTGTTTGTCTCGCTTATGTTGTCTATCTCGTTTGTATTGTCTGTCTGTGTGTATTGTCTGCCTCGTTTATATTGTCTATCTCGTTTGTATTGTCTGTCTCGTTTGTATTGTCTGTCTCGTTTGTATTGTCTGTCTCGATTGTATTGTCTGTCTCGTTTGTATTGTCTGTCTCGTTTGTATTGTCTGTCTCGTTTGTATTGTCTGTCTCGATTGTATTGTCTGTCTCGTTTGTATTGTCTGTCTCGTTTGTATTGTCTGTCTGTGTGTATTGTCTGTCTCGTTTATATTGTCTGTCTCGTTTGTATTGTCTGTCTCGTTTGTATTATCTGTCTCGTTTGTATTGTCTGTCTCGTTTGTATTGTCTGTCTCGTTTGTATTGTCTGTCTCGTTTGTATTGTCTGTCTCGTTTACATTGTCTGTCTCGTTTGAATTGTTCTGTCTCGTTTGTATTGTCTGTCTCGTTTGTATTGTCTGTCTGTGTGTATTGTCTGTCTCGTTTATATTGTCTGTCTCGTTTGTATTGTTCTGTCTCGTTTGTATTGTCTGTCTGTGTGTATTGTCTGTCTCGTTTATATTGTCTATCTCGTTTGTATTGTTCTGTCTCGTTTGTATTGTCTGTCTCGTTTGTATTGTCTGTCTCGTTTGTATTGTCTGTCTCACTTGTAACATGAAAAACGTAACGTTACATTTCCAGGTAATGTGCCACGTCATTTGTCAAATTTGACAAATTTGGCATCGTTGTTGGCCACTGTTAAGCAGGCGGAGCAGCGGCTTACTACGACGTCACGGCTATTACTCCCGCAGTCCATTACCGAGGTGTTTGGGTGAGATCGCGTAACTCCCAATGCGCAGTCGTGAAACCCGCCACCACCCGACACACGGCCAGTGAGTGAGGTTTGACACGTTAACAAAACGTGGCAATTCGTTACGGGTACAGCACACCCGGTTACGTGTTGGAGAGTAAACCCACAAAGTTTACCATTCGAGTACGACGTTTCGCCGGTAATTACAACCACCGTCATCAGGCAGACAGCCAGAGAGTTGTGGAGAAATCATCCTCCAGTTTCGGTTTTAAAATGTGGGATAGTGGCGGGTGTAGCGACGCGTTAATACTTACGCGATCTAACGCACAAACCTCTATGATGAATAACATTGGTCGCGGAAGCCGACTACTACTTTGTGTTAAACCACTCCTGCAGTGTTCACCAGGACGTACGCTGGGTTCGAACCGCGAACCTCTGTCACCAAGAGGCGGAACGTGCTGCTGCTGCTCGGAACACGTCACCGCCGCCTCGATAATCGATTAATGGACGAGCGTGAATCGGCTCCTCTAACTCACTAACTCCAATAAACCTGTTACAGTTGATGGACTTGTAATTGACAAATCTACTTGAATCGACTTCTCTCATGAATGGACACGAATTGACTAATATCATGAATGCAAATTAATCTACAAATATAATCCATCGACTCATCTAATCTGACCATAATCAATCCAAATGGATCCCCTCCCGATCTTCCAATTACCTCCTTATCACCTCCCGATCTCCTCCCTATCCCCTCCCGATCCCCTCCCGATCCTCTCCCGAACCCTTCCCGATCCCCTCCCGATCCCCTCCCGATCCCCTCCCGATCCCCTCCCGATCCCCTCCCGATCCCCTCCCGAACCCGTGGCGATCCCCTCCAAGGAGGAGGATTGCGCCACGCTGTCTCGCTTGCTGCGCAGCGACGGGCGCAACATCTCCATCTTCAAGCGCGAGCAGAAGGCGGCGCGCACCCTCGGCGTCATCCTGGGTGCCTACACCCTCTGCTGGCTGCCCTTCTTCACGCTCTCCACGGCGCGGCCCTTCATCTGCCGCTCGTCCTTCTCCTCCGTGCCCAACGCCTCGGGCGCGACGGGCGACGGCCTCGGAGTCGGGGCGAGCGGCGGCGGCGGCTTCGGCGCGCACGGCGACTCGGACGGCCGCTTTCGGCTCATCGCCGCTTCGGCGGGGGTCGAGCTGGGCGCCGATCCGAGCCTGGTGGACGCGGTGTGCAGCTGCGTGCCGCTCAGCCTGGAGCGCACCTTCCTGTGGCTCGGCTACGCCAACTCGCTCGTGAACCCCCTCATCTACGCCTCCTTCAACCGCGACCTCCGCACGGCGTTCCGCAGCGTGCTGCGCTGCCGCTACCGCAACATCAATCGCCGCCTGTCGGCCGAGGGCATCCACGAGGCCCTGCGGGTGGCCGAGAGGCCTCACTTCCTGCTGTGAGGGTGAGGGGGGCCCCTGCCTCGAACGCTCCCGACCGCTCGGTCTGGACAGAAATTTTCCCCCCCCCTACACCTTCCACCCCAGCCCTACCCCCCCAAGCCCTACCCCCCCTACACCCAGCCCCCCCCCCCCCAACCGTACCTCCCGCTGGTGAGCAGGGAGCCAAGCCAGTTACCTCGTGCTGCACAGGAGCAGCTGCCCCTGGGGTGTCCCCCCCCCTCCACCTCTTTCAAATGTGTTGAGAAGAGATGCGATGTAAGTGGCCTACCGTGGTGTGAGAGCGCTTTGAGACGTCCCCCCGGCAAAAGCAACAAATAAAACGACTACAGCGGGCACCTCCGATTATCACGGTTGGCAAGGTACCGTGCGAAAGAAGTTCAACATGCTGTACATACATCCTTAAAAAAAAAACACTGACTTGGAACCAGAACAATATTGCACGAGTGAAAGGTCGGGAAAGGTGCAGCCCCGCAAGCGTCTCGCTCACGCCACTGCCGCTGGAAGGGGCCCTGCAGTAGAGGACGCTCCAGAGAGTCGCTCTGCTCTAGAGCGCGCCCGCTCGTTCCACTCTCCCACACGGGGCAGACGATGCCATGGAAGGACGAGGAGATGACCAATACCTATAGCCGCCATTCGCCACTCAGTCAAGGGACTGGACCCAGGTTGCCATGGGTTGGCCGACTGAGATGACTGACAGATGCACACCAGCTGTGCCCCCTGCCGTGCCAACTTGCTGTGCTTTAGCCGCACGGTGCTCCGCTCGTTGTTGTGAGCGTCGCTCCTCTGCCCTCCGTCGTTGTTGGAGAGCGAACTGCCTCCAACTTCCCAGTCGCGTCCTTCACGAGCCTCCTCCTCCATCGAGGTGATCACCCCACGCTTTACGGCAACACCACAACGCGACCAGTCGATCAACTAAACCGAGGTGACCCCATGAACAAAACTGCAACTCCGTAGCGCTGAGTGGACACAGAAACGGCTGGGCATGTAAAAAAAAGAGCTTCATAGCTCATCGGATTCCTCAAGTCTAAATATAGGTTTTGATTCTGAGACGGGGGAGGTGGGAGGAGGAGAGGTGGGTTAATACTTTCCCCGTTGTCTCAGCTGCCGCGCCAGGAGATCGAGATGGAGGCGATCGGGTGACCTTTACAACCACCGCCGTGGCATCATCCATGGGAATAGTTGTGTTAATATAAATATATATATATATCTCTGTGTACACACCGTGGTCTATACATTCGAGAAGAGGCGTGGCCGCGGTGTCAAGGCGCGCGACAGGGAACGAGTCTCGGCCACGCAAGCGGCGTGGCCTCGGTTGAGGTGCTTCCTCGTTTTCTGTCGTAGCCGCCGAACGGAGAGCAACGGTGAGAGGAGATCCGACGGTGAGTCAGCCCGTTCCCTTGCCTTGTCACAGAGCTGGTGGATTGCAGATACACCCACTCACTTACCAACCCACCGACTCAGCCACTAACCCACCCACTCACTCACGAACCAAACCACGCACCTACTAACCCACTCACTTACCCACCCACTCACCCACTAACTCACTAATCCACCTACTCACCCACCCACTTACCCAATAATCCACCCACTCATCCACTAACCTACCCACTTACCCACTAACTCACCCACTAGCCCACCCACTCACTCACTAACCCACCCACTCACCCACCCACTCACTAACACACCCACTCACTAACCTACCCACTAACCCACCCAATCACTCACTATCCCACCTTTAACATACAGTGAGGAAAAAAAGTATTTGATCCCCTGCTGATTTTGTACGTTTGTCCACTGACAAAGAAATGATCAGTCTATAATTTTAATGGTAGGTTTATTTGAACAGTGAGAGAGAATAACAACAACAAAATACAAAAAAAACGCATGTCAAAAATGTTATAAATTGATTTGCATTTTAATGAGGGAAATAAGTATTTGACCCCCTCTCAATCAGAAAGATTTCTGGCTCTCATGTGTCTTTTATACAGGTAACGAGCTGAGATTAGGAGCACACTCTTAGAGGGAGTGCTCCTAATCTCAGCTTGTTACCTGTATAAAAGACGCCTGTCCATAGAAGCAATCAATCAATCAGATTCCAAACTCTCCACCATGGCCAAGACCAAAGAGCTCTCCAAGGATGTCAGGGACAAGAGTGTAGAGCTACACAAGGCTGGAATGGGCTACAAGACCATTGCCAAGCAGCTTGGCGAGAAGGTGACAACAGTTGGTCCGATTATTCGCAAATGGAAGAAACACAAAAGAACTGTCAATCTCCCTCGGCCTGGGGCTCCATGCAAGACCTCACCTCGTGGAGTTGCAATGATCATGAGAACGGTGATGAATCAGCCCAGAACTACACGGGAGGATCTTGTCAATGATCTCAAGGCAGCTGAGACCATAGTCACCAAGAAACAATTGGCAACACACTACGCCGTGAAGGACTGAAATCCTGCAGCGCCCGCAAGGTCCCCCTGCTCAAGAAAGCACATATACATGTCCGTCTGAAGTTTGCCAATGGCCATCTGAATGATTCAGAGGACAACGGAGTGAAAGTGTTGTGGTCAGATGAGACCAAAATGGAGCTCTTTGGCATCAACTCAACTCGCCGTGTTTGGAGGAGGATTAGGAGGAGGAGGAATGCTGCCTATGACCCCAAGAACACCATCCCTACCGCCAAACATGGAGGTGGAAACATTATGCTTTGGGGGTGTTTTTCTGCTAAGGGGACAGGACAACTTCACCGCATCAAAGGGACGATGGACGGGCCCATGTATCGTCAAATCGTGGGTCGTGGATGGGTATTCCAGCATGACAAAGACCCAAAACACACGGCCAAGGCAACAAAGGAGTGGCTCAAGAAGAAGCACATTAAGGTCCTGGAGTGGCCTAGCCAGTCTCCAGACCTTAATCCCATAGAAAATCTGTGGAGGGAGCTGAAGGTTCGAGTTGCCAAACTCAGCCTCAAAACCTTAATGACTTTGAGAAGATCTGCAAAAAGGAATGGGACAAAATCCCTCCTGAAATGTGTGCAAACCTGGTGGCCAACTATAAGAAACGTCTGACCTCTGTGATTGCCAACAATGGTTTTGCCACCAAGTACTAAGTCATGTTTTGCAGAGGGGTCAAATACTTATTTCTCTCGTTAAAATGCAAATAAATTTATAACATTTTTGACATGCGTTTTTCTGGATTTTGTTGTTATTCTGTCTCTCACTGTTCAAATAAACCTACCATGTAAATTATAGACTGATCATTTTTTTGTCAGTGGGCAAACGTACAAAATCAGCAGGGGATCAAATACTTTTTCCCTCACTGTACCCACACACTCAGATAGTGGGTGAATTCGTGAGTGAATGGGTTGATGAGTTCGTGAGAGTAGGTGGGTGATCCAGTGGGTTAGTGAGTGAGTGGGTGAGCTAGTGAGCGGGAGGGTGAGTGAGTTAGTTAGTGGGTGAGTTCGTGAGTGTGCACGAATGAATTAGTGGGTGAGTGAATGGGTGGGTGAAATAGCGGGTGAGTTAGTGAGTGGTAGAGTGGGTGGGCGAGCGAGCGGGTTAGTGAGTGCGTGGGTGAGCTAGTGAGCGGGAGGTTGGATGGGTTAGTTAGTGGGTGAGTTCGTGAGTGTGCACGAATGAATTAGTGGGTGATTGAATCAGTGGGTGAAATAGCGGGTGAGTTAGTGAGTGGTAGAGTGGGTTGGCGAGCGAGTGGGTTAGTGAGTGCGTGGGTGAGCTAGTGAGCGGGAGGGTGAGTGGGTGGGTGGTGGGTTGCTGTTGCCTGTAGCGTGATGGTTGAGTACAGCCTGCACGAGATGACTTACCAGACCCAGTCCTCAACATTTGACAAGCCCGGCTGTATTTTTTCTTTGGCAAGCCTGACTGCTGATTTTGTGACTCGCAGACGGCAGTGAGGCGGTGGCCGCAGAGCTGTCAGTTATCCGCGTTTAAGGGTTGATTAGCTGCTCTCCAGATTAGGTCACGCGCTCTTCAAAACGAACTTGCATTCTGAACAGCCAAGTTTCGTCGTCGCTACCGTTGAATGTTGGTGAATTTGCTCATCTTGGTTCACGAATGATAAGCCAATATTTTTCCAAAAAATGTGTATTTTATTATTAGTATAATATAATAACAAGGCCTACACGTCTTTTGGACGTGACGGTCCGTCTGTCCGTCCCTCCATCCAGCCAGTAAAATGTTGTTTCTAATGTAGTATGGCATTACCTTGATAGGGGGGAGTGGTTGGTGGCGCGGTTGAATTTAATCTCTACAAGGCCTGTACGGATATACGTGTTGATAAGAAGCTTTCCTCTGTTGGTAAACGTGATTAAAAACCAGACATTGAGCCGAGTTCTGGACACACAAGTACAGAACATTACAAATATATACACATCGAGAAATCACGATGCACATTCTTGTGTTGTTGTTGTTGAGGCGTCACCTTCCGTTTGAGAGACGCCTGGAGGTCTGGGCTTGATTTCAGCCGGAGCTGTCCTGGGTGCTGAGCTGCAGATAATGTTCCATGCGAAATGAGTGTCAACTAGGCAGATCGGCAGAGTAGGCGGGTGGCTATACCTCTCCACTACGGTAGACAGTGCCGCTGTGTTCAGCGAATTATGTTGCCATGCTGCCGCTGCTGCTGCGTTGGCAGTGGTGCATAAACAACAACAAACACAACACGGTCGTCAAAACAGCGTGGCCTTAAAAGAAAAACATAATAGGCGACGTTTCGGGCAACGGATCTTTATATCCTATGCAAGGGGGCCATTGTCCGAAGCGTTATTTTATATACAGGGTAGTTAAAAAAATGTTTTAACACTTATATGGGACTATCGTTTTTAATGGAAAAAGAACAGATAATGCACTGTAACATGATAACAAATGCAATGTTAATGGCTTCCAAAAGTCAAAGAGTCTCCACTTGTTCGCCATCGTTGTCAACACGTTGCCTGGAATCTTCTCCACGTGGTCTCCAAAGCCCGGAGGCAGCAGCACATGTCACGTGGCGTTGTTGCAATTTCTCAGAAGTGTTAAAACAATTTTGAAGCCCCTGTATATTTATCCGAAGGCACATCCAGTGTTAGTGACGAGTGTGTTGTGTTCATAGAAGGAGAGACAAGACAGAGCTGGGTGTCACCGGTTATCCCGACTCACGCGTGACCCTTCCTGCACGTGCCGTGTCGGCGCTGAGAAGGAGGCGAGGGAGGACGCGCGAAACGAACACGAAGAGCGGGGGAAGGATCCAGCGCTCGCCGTGAAGCGTGAGGGCCACAGCTGGGTCAAGGTCAGGGTCACAGCTAGGTCAGGGTCAGGGCCACAGCTGGGTCAGGGCCACAGCTGGGTCAGGGTCAGGGTCACAGCTGGGTCAGGGTCACGGCTAGTGCCTGGTTGGTTGGTGCGGTCGTGGTTCAGGATAGGGCTGATGACCGCTTGGCATGTGTGGCTCGGGCTGGTATTTGGGGTTGTATAGCGTGGTTGGGGTTAGGGGTAGGGCAGATGTTTGATTGGCTCGCGTCCCGCAGTCCCCTTTCCCCCACCGTTTTCCAGACATTGCCTTGCCAGAACGTCGAGACTCACGCACGCCCACACCCACGTGTTCCACTCGCTTATAATTTGCCATGCAATATGAACAATGGATTAAATGTAGTTTTGTGTTTGCTTTTAAACACACATGTACATACATAAACAAAAAAAAAGACTACGAGGGCATGGGGAAAATGTATATTTGAATGTTTACCGTCACTTGTATAATTATCCTTGTTTTCGTTTGATACACGTATTTATTTTATGAAAACTAGACTGTAGATTTTGTCCACGTTGTATAACGATTCTTCTTTCGCTCGCATTTCACGTCGGGAGGAATTATTCCACTTATTCGAATAAAAAAAAGAATAACTAACCTCGCTCTTTGCCATCCACTGCCTCTTGAATGCGTCGCGCACGTGACTGCCCGGCATCCAGGGAGGGTCGGTGGATCACCGGAAGAGATGTCGCGAATCTCCATTCCCGTGGTCATCGAGGAGAAGCCGTACCCACGGCTCGCCAAGCGAAAGGCGGCAGAGCAAGCGGGGTCATCGACGTCGGTGCCATTTATTACGGGGATCGAGCGTGTTGCCCTCTCCCGTGCATGGACTTTTCTCCGGGTGTTCCGGTTCCCTCCTGCCACGTGAATAATACTGCGTGTGTATGTTTGTGCGTTTGTATGTATGTGTGTTTGTGTGTACTTGTGTGTATGCATATTTGTGTGTTTGTATGTATGTGTGGGTGTTTGCGTGTTTGTGTGTACTTGTGTGTACTTTTGTGTATATATATTTGTGTGCGTGTTTGTGTGTGTGTGTCAACAGCGAACAATCAGCGCAGGGCAGTGCGTCTCTTTGACCATCTCCCCGTGTTTAAATCTTTCAGAGCGATATTTAAAATAAAAAAAGCATTCACTTCTTCTCACGACCCCCATGCGCCGCAGCCGCCCAACCACCGATCCCGCATCGATTATCTCGCGCTGAGGTTTGTAATTGTCCCCCCTCCCCCCGTAGTTGTAGTCGTCCACGTTGTCGACAGATCGAAACACCCCCCCCCCCCCTTAAATCGTTACCGCCCCCTCCTCCTCCACCGCTGTTTAACGGATCGATGCCGCTCTATCGGCGATTCGTGCGCGTTCAACCCAGCGCAGGCGACGAGACGTCAATATCGAGGGCCGTGAGATCGCACCAGGAGGGGAGGGGAGAGAGAGAAACAAAATGCCGGTGTGTCAATAACCCAATTTGTCTTCACCAGCCCACCGCACTGGCCATCTTGGCCGACCACGGTTGAAGCAAAATCCTGTCAAGCGCTACGGGCGCAGCCCAGCGCATCGATGACGTTCAGCACCGCTCGCTTTTGCGAGAGCCGCATCGACTCGTTGGGATTCGTGCGATTTACACCACTGGCCGGAGCGTCAGGCAGCGGTGGAAATTCCACGTTCGTATGGCCGCCCACTAAAGACGAGTTTGTGTAGTGGCAGGCGCTCTCTCTCTCTCTCTCTCCAGCAGGGGAGACTCTTTGGTTTACTTTGGATTCTACAAGAAACAAAGAACTCAGCAATGCGACTAAGCGCCTGAACACGTGGTCCTGCATGCAGGGTTTATTATTTTTTTTAAACTCTCACTCGCTCTCTTTCTCTCTCTCTGTGTGTGTGTAAATAATCCCGTGTGGGAGGCTGTGATGAGAAACAGAAAGTGCATCTCTTCCCCTCCACGGCATCACCACCACTAACTACCCCGCTAGAACATCCACACCAAAGATCCCCCGTGTAGCCTTAACGGGCTGTTGGGGCAAGTGCTGTTAGCGAGTAGCGCCTATGAAGGCCGGGCAACGCTGCCCATTATTACACCCGACCGCCTTTGTCTAACACTAATTTGAGGCTGAGTCTACCTAGGGGAGGCCGAGTACGGGGTTCAGATCATTATTGTCATTGGTGTTGGTGGCCGTGAGCGGGAATCGAACTCGGGTCGCCGGTGTTCGTAGCGCTCACCACTGCGCCACCGCTCCTCACCCCTGCGCGGTGCTGCCCCGTGCCCCGTGCTTTGGGGGGTGGGGGGGAGGATGGCGCGCTCAGACGTCACCGTGTCAGATGGAATACTCCCGGGTTAGTTTGAAGGCGGCGGGGGGCAGACATTGTGGGGTTTGCACCCCCCCCCCCCCTCCGGCACCCCCCTATGGACGGTCTTGGGTAGTGTTAGTGATGTTGGTGGTGTTGGTGGTGGTGTTGATGGTGGTGGTTGTGGTAGTGATAGTGGTGGTGTTGTTGGTGGTGTTGGTGGTGGTGTTATTGGTGGTGGTGTTGTTGGTGTTGATGGTGGTGGTTGTGGAATTGATAGTGGTGGTGTTGGTGGTGTTGTTGGTGGTGTTGGTGGTGTTGTTGGTGATGGTGGTGGTGAGTTCGATTCCCGCTCACGGCCAACACCGGTGACGATTATCTGAACCCGGCCTGGACCTCCCCTAGGTCGACTCAGCCTCAAATGAGTACCTGGTGCGGTGTGTAAACATCGCCACTGGGTGGTGGGGAGAGTCGTCGTGCCGGGAGGATGTGCGGCTTGCCGCTGCTGCTGCGCTAATGGGCTGTGGCGTGCGCTAGCAGAGCGTCAAGTGAGGACAGTGGCTGTGGGGGCTTGGGTAGGACGGGGGGGGGTGGAGTGGGGGGGGAGAGTGGGGGGGAGAATGGGGGGGGGCGGAGAGTGGTGGGGGGAGAGTGGGGGGGGCGGAGAGTTGGGGGGGGGGAGCCCCTACCTAATTGCCGCTGTCATTAGCGCTCTCGACAGAAATATTAACCCGTTTACAAATCTACCCTCATGATAAAGATGCCGACGAATACGATGGTGTTGGAGGTAAGAGCGGTGATGATGCAGATGGTGGTGGTGATAATGACAACCGTGTGCGGTGGAGATTCGAGCTGTGAGTGGATCCGAGTTCAATCCGTGGACACGGGGCTCCTTGACGGGGCGAGGTTGACGACGGTCCGAGCGCGCAACCACCGGCAGTGATCCGAGCACCGCGGCGAGGAGAGCCACGTGGAGATGGACCTCGCCCAGCCTCCAAAATAGCTGTCTCAGTGTCACGTGTTCACCGCATCACCATCAATCACCACCACCATCGTTATCGTCACTATCGTTATCACCGATACCTCTAACAGCACCACAATGACTATCAGCATCACTACCACCATCGTTAACATCACTATCAGCATCACCAAAGACAAAGATCCCCCGTATAGCCTGAGCAGACTGTTGGGGCAAGTGCTGTTAACGAACAGCTATGAAGGCCGGCACGGCACACGAGTGGCCAACACCGCGGCCGCTTTTGTGTCCCCATTGGCGATGCTTGCACACCGCACCAGGTACTCATTTGAGGCTGAGTTTACCTAGGGGAGGCCCAGGACCGGTTCAGATAATCGTCAGCAGTGTTGGCCGTGAGCGGGAATCGAACTCGGGTCGCCGGGTTCGCAGCGCAGCGCGCTCACCGCTGCACCACCGCTCCCCACAACTACCTCTAAACACCACCACCATCACCACCACAATAATTACCACCATCACCAAAACCTCCAACACCATCTCTGCCATCATCGCCATCACTATGCTACTATCTCAAACGCCACAATCATCATCACGATCCCCATCACGACCTCCTCCAACACCACCGCCCCGAAACGGGTGGAGGTGGGGGGGGATGTGGGGGGTGTGGGGGGTTCTCAAACCCAACAGCCCCCACCCAATTCGATTCCCCAGAAATGAACTCTCTGCAGAATCAGTAGCCCCCCCCCCCAGCGCCCCCCACCCCCGCCCCACCCCCGCCCCTCCCCCCACCCCTACCCCCTACCCCTTCACTCTCCCGACCCCCCACCACAACGCTACCCTCCGCCTCAATTTTGCGATAGATCGATCCGGATATCGAATTGAAAATATCGATCCACTGCAGTAATTACTCAGTGACTTTCCTCTCTCGCTCGCTCGCTCCCTCTCTCCCTCCCCCCATGTCCCTCCCTCTCCCTCCCCCTGTCCCTCCCTCTCCCTCTCTCCCTCCCCCTGTCCCTCCCTCTCCCCTCGCTCCCTCCCCCTGTCCCTCCCTCTCCCCTCTCTAATCTTATCGCTCCCATCCCATCCGTGCAACCCCACCCCCACCACCCCCCAACCCTCCTGCCCTGATCTTCCCCTCCCACCCGTGGTGGTGGTGGTGGCGGACTGCATCTGTGATCCGACGCTATTTGGAGGCGAAGTTTGGTGAATCGCCAAGAGAATTGTGAGCCCCCCCCCCCAGAGTTTGCCGAGGCTGCCTGCAATGTGCCTCGTAGGTGGCAGTGCAGGGTTCGTGAATCTGTCTGCGTCGCGGTAGAACTTTGAGAGGTATTCCCCCTCCAATGCCAGCTGGGATGTATCCACGTCCTCACGATTTTCCTCCGGCCGTGAAGTTTAATTGTAAATGGCCAGACACTACTGTAGAGTCAGTAGAGTCAGTAGATACTACTATAGAGTCAGTAGATACTACTGTAGAGTCAGTAGATACTACTGTAGAGTCAGTAGATACTACTGTAGAGTCAGTAGATACTACTGTAGTCAGGAGATACTACTGTAGAGTCAGTAGATACTACTGTAGAGTCAGTAGATAGTACTGTAATGTCAGTAGATACTACTATAGAGTCAGTAGATACTACTGTAGAGTTAGTAGATACTACTGTAGAGTCAGTAGATACTACTGTAGTCAGTAGATACTACTGTAGAGTCAGTAGATACTACTGTAGAGTCAGTAGATACTACTATAGAGTCAGTAGATACTACTGTAGAGTCAGTAGATACTACTGTAGGGTCGATATATACCACTATACAGTCAATAGATACTACTATAGAGTCAGTAGATACTACTGTAGAGTCAGTAGATACTACTGTATAGTCAGTAGATACTACTATAGAGTCAGTAGATACTACTGTAGAGTTAATAGATACTACTGTAGAGTCAGTAGATACTACTGTAGAGGCTGTAGATACTGCTGTAGAGCCACTAGATACTACTATAGAGTCAGTAGTTACTACTGTAGAGTAAGTAGACACTACTATAGTGTCAGTAGATACTACTATAGTGTCAGTAGATACTACTGTAGAGTCAGTAGATACTACTGTAGAGTCAGTATATACTACTGTAGAGTCAGTAGATACTACTATAGAGTCAGCATATACTACTGTAGAGTCAGTAGATACTACTGTAGTGTCACTAGATACTACTATAGAGTCACTAAATACTACTGTAGAGTCAGTAGATACTACTGTAGTGTCAGTAGATACTACTGTAGAGTCAATAGATACTACTGTAGTGTCGGTAGTTACTACTGTAGTGGCAGTAGATACTACTCTAGAGTCAGTAGATACTACTGTAGAGT